GGGGGGGGTTGTGCCTGAGATGTCCTGGTTCGTGCGCAGTCATGGATAGGGATAACCTATTAAACTGCATATTCTCAAAATGGCAGCAAGGGCCTGTTCGCTTCCAGCACTAGAGCAGACCTGGACACTGAATTCACTAAGCCCCTAAGAAGTGGCAGATACCGTTCAACATACTGAGAAAATAGAATACAAACTTTCTGTAATTAATGCAAATAGACTGCACGATAATGAAGGTTTAACTTCTCCAGCCAGAGCTCCCCACACGACACACGCCTGTCTGTGAGCGGCTCGGGCCAAACGTCGCTGCAGCGATATCGGAAGGAGCCTTAAGTTTGGCCTTTGGCTTCACGTCGTCAGTCCAGTCTGAGACCATCGGGGTGTCAGCTGCACCCCTCAGGCACGAAGCAAGGCTCTGCCCCCTCGTTAGCAGTCCAGCGTGGGAAATTCATTCCTTTTGGGAGCATTACCGGGGGCATTAGTTCTCGCGTGTGCTTTAAATGCTTCCTTTTCCCCCTGCCGCTGCGACCCCAGGGAGGACAGGCACGGGCCAGGCGGATGGAGACAGGAACGCAGGAGCAAGAGTCATCCCAAAGTCCCACGGAGCCTGGCTTTCCAGAGGTGCTGCACGACACGAGCCTGGAGCTGCGCGAGGCGAACGGGAAGCTTCCCCCGAGCCACCAGTGGCTCCTGCGTGCTCGCAGCAGCACGGAGCGAGCGGCCGGACAGGCCCCACGCGGCTGGAGGCAGAGCGCTGGCTTCTCTCCGCTGAAACAAAGTCCAGGGTTTTTATCATGATAAACTTCAGCTTCAAATCCTAACTGCAATGGCCCATAGCATTGTAACCAAAGTGCTAACAGTTTCAGTGGAAGTGGCTTAAACGGGTATTTAGTTTAAAAAACAAAGAAAACCCACTTTTTTTTTTCTTTTTTTCTTTTTTTTTTAGCAGATTTTTTTTTTTTTTCTCATCACTTCAATAACTGGGAATTTGTTTACTACGCACTACACGTTTTGCTAAGGGTTAAGCCAATTCCATTTTCCAGAGTCTTTGTTCCCCCCACCCACCCCCAGGAGATGTTTCCTTAGGAGACGCTGGAACAACGAATGCTTGGGGAGCCCATTTGTGTCAGGACCTTGTCCAGCCACTGCAAAGGACCATTAAGATGCAGTTCAATCCAGCAGGGAGTACTGGTCACAGTCTGCCGCCTACAAGAAAGAAGGGGGGGGGGAGAAGGAAAAGAAAAAGAAAAAAATAACATAAATGTGACTTGCAAAACTACAAATGTGAAAACTTTTTCCAGCTACT